CAGATGATTGACAAACAAACCATTCTGGAGAAGATTTAATGGGGAGTATATACAGCCTTCTGAATTAATGAGGAAGGTAAATGTGTGGAAGTTTGTAGGATATGTACTCTGAGAATCATCATCTATTGACCATACTGGAGAATTGAAGACAGAGAGGGAGACTAAGGAAGGATTTGTGTTTGGTAATGTAACAGAATGGTGTCTGGGATAGAAAAAGGTGAAGAGACAGAACAGGGTGAGATGTTCCATTATAGCTGATTTCTGTATCAGGGATAGATACTGTACTATATGGTAGACTTCTAAATAAAGTAATCAATAGGAAATGTAGAAGTTTACAGAACATGTGTGTGTGTGTGTGTGTGTGTGCACCTTAAGGGTCATCTTGAAACCATCTATTGACAATATACATTGAAGACAGAGTTGGTGTTTGGTAATGTAATATGGTGGTGTCTGGAGAATTAGAAGGTAGGAAGATGTGAAGAGTGAGATGTTCCATTATGGCTGTACCAGATACTGTACTACATGGTACTGAATAACACATGTAAGTTTGTAGGTCATGTTCTCTCATTGGGAGATTGACAATATACATTGAAGACAGAGTTGGTGTTTGGTAATATAATATGGTGGTGTCTGGAGAATTAGAAGGTAGGAAGATGTGAAGAGTGAGATGTTCCATTATGGCTGTACCAGATACTGTACTACATGGTACTGAATAACACATGTAAGTTTGTAGGACATGTTCTCTCATTGGGAGATTGACAATATACATTGAAGACAGAGTTGGTGTTTGGTAATGTAATATGGTGGTGTCTGGAGAATTAGAAGGTAGGAAGATGTGAAGAGTGAGATGTTCCATTATGGCTGTGCCAGATACTGTACTACATGGTACTGAATAGCACATGTAAGTTTGACAATATACATTGAAGACAGAGTTGGTGTTTGGTAATGTAATAGAATATGGTGTCTGGAGAATTAGAAGGTAGGAAGATGTGAAGAGTGAGATGTTCCATTATGGCTGTACCAGATACTGTACTACATGGTACTGAATAACACATGTAAGTTTGTAGGACATGTTCTCTCATTGGGAGATTGACAATATACATTGAAGACAGAGTTGGTGTTTGGTAATGTAATATGGTGGTGTCTGGAGAATTAGAAGGTAGGAAGATGTGAAGAGTGAGATGTTCCATTATGGCTGTACCAGATACTGTACTACATGGTACTGAATAACACATGTAAGTTTGTAGGACATGTTCTCTCATTGGGAGATTGACAATATACATTGAAGACAGAGTTGGTGTTTGGTAATGTAATATGGTGGTGTCTGGAGAATTAGAAGGTAGGAAGATGTGAAGAGTGAGATGTTCCATTATGGCTGTACCAGATACTGTACTACATGGTACTGAATAACACATGTAAGTTTGTAGGACATGTTCTCTCATTGGGAGATTGACAATATACATTGAAGACAGAGTTGGTGTTTGGTAATGTAATATGGTGGTGTCTGGAGAATTAGAAGGTAGGAAGATGTGAGATGTTCCATTATGGCTGTACCAGATACTGTACTACATGGTACTGAATAACACATGTAAGTTTGTAGGACATGTTCTCTCATTGGGAGATTGACAATATACATTGAAGACAGAGTTGGTGTTTGGTAATGTAATATGGTGGTGTCTGGAGAATTAGAAGGTAGGAAGATGTGAAGAGTGAGATGTTCCATTATGGCTGTACCAGATACTGTACTACATGGTACTGAATAACACATGTAAGTTTGTAGGACATGTTCTCTCATTGGGAGATTGACAATATACATTGAAGACAGAGTTGGTGTTTGGTAATGTAATATGGTGGTGTCTGGAGAATTAGAAGGTAGGAAGATGTGAAGAGTGAGATGTTCCATTATGGCTGTACCAGATACTGTACTACATGGTACTGAATAACACATGTAAGTTTGTAGGACATGTTCTCTCATTGGGAGATTGACAATATACATTGAAGACAGAGTTGGTGTTTGGTAATGTAATAGAATATGGTGTCTGGAGAATTAGAAGGTAGGAAGATGTGAAGAGTGAGATGTTCCATTATGGCTGTACCAGATACTGTACTAAATGGTACTGAATAACACATGTAAGTTTGTAGGACATGTTCTCTCATTGGGAGATTGACAATATACATTGAAGACAGAGTTGGTGTTTGGTAATGTAATATGGTGGTGTCTGGAGAATTAGAAGGTAGGAAGATGTGAAGAGTGAGATGTTCCATTATGGCTGTACCAGATACTGTACTACATGGTACTGAATAACACATGTAAGTTTGTAGGACATGTTCTCTCATTGGGAGATTGACAATATACATTGAAGACAGAGTTGGTGTTTGGTAATGTAATATGGTGGTGTCTGGAGAATTAGAAGTTAGGAAGATGTGAAGAGTGAGATGTTCCATTATGGCTGTGCCAGATACTGTACTACATGGTACTGAATAACACATGTAAGTTTGTAGGACATGTTCTCTCATTGGGAGATTGACAATATA